TGAACTCTGGGCCTGAGTGCTGTCCCTCAGCTCTTCAGCTCAAGGCTAGCGCTCTACCACTTGAGCCACAGCGCCACTTCCGGCTTTTTTCTTTTTTCTTATGTGGTGCTGAGGAATCGAACCCAGGGCCTCATGTATGCAAGGCAAGTGCTCTACCACTGAGCCACCTTCCCAGCCCTATTATTTCTTTTTCTTAAAAATATTTTTAAGGGCTGGGAAGGTGGCTCAGTGGTAAAGCGCTTGCCTTGCATGCATGAGGCCCTGGGTTCGATTCCTCAGCACCACATAACAAAAAAGCCGGAAGTGGTACTGTGGCTCGGTAGAGTGCTAGCCTTGACCTGAAGGGCTGAGGGACAGTGCCCAGGCCCAAAGTTCAGGCCCCATGACCGGCCCCCCCCCCAAAAAACAACAAAAACAAAAATATTTTCTTATTGTGAAAATACTGTACAGAGGGGTTACAATTACATGGGCAAGATAATGAGTACATTTCTTATCAAGCATTATAGCCTCCTCCTTTGTTTCTCCTTCCCATCCTCCCCCGATACCCCCCCCACCAAAGTTGTAAATTTCGACATAATGACTTGTACATCTCATTGTTTCAATGGGTCCACCTGTATCCCTATTTAAACGATAACAAAAATCTTTTTAAAGGAGGAAGAATGTGCAAAATGCAAAGTGATTCATCACTTGCACCAGGTTTGCATAATTCTGCTTCTTACATGGTCTCTGTTCACCACAGTGGGTATCTTGAATAAAAATTAGTCTGGTACTTGCTTAGCATATGCAAGGCCCTTGCTTCAATTCCTAGCACTGAAATAAATGTTCTTTATAACTAGATAGAAGAATTCGTCATGTGAGGAGAACATTTATAAAAAAAGACAGCTTAGAGGCTGGAGGTATAGCTCAGAGGTAGAGCACATTGGTAAACTGTGTTAAGACCTAAAAAAGAAAAAAAAAACATTTTATATATTAAAACCTCTAACAACAGCTGGGCGCTGGTGGCTCACGCCTGTAATCCTAGCTACTCAGGAGCCTTAGAGCTGAGGATAGCGATTCAAAGCCAGCCCAGGCAGGAAAAGCCCGTGAGGATCTTACCTCCAATAAACCACTAGAAAACCAGAAGTGGCACTGTGATAGAGCACTCACCTTGAGCTGAAGAGCTCAAGGACAGCGCCCAAGCCTAGAGGTCAAGCCCCATGACCAACAAACCCAAAAAAAGACAAAAATAAACTTCTAACAACACTCCAAAACACTAGTGGATAATAAAAGCCAAATCATATGAAGTGTGCTCAATGAATATTCTCTGACAATCAGTTACTTGTCCAACATTTCACTAGGAATTACAAGAGGCAATATTACTGGAAAGAAATTCTTCTACTGCACTGCTTAACTCAGCCCACAAAGAATTAAGAAAAGGGAGTGATCTAATACTTTAAAGACCTGTAAAGTCCTCTACACCATCTTCATATGTCAAAGGAAGGCATTTTTAAGTCTATAAAAGTGACACATTAATGGGACATTAACAAGCTGGTTAAATGACCCTAAAACTGAGTCTACTACTCAAAGAGTTAAGAGTCTCCCTTAAGTCAAATAACGATCACAACAGGCCTTACATTCTAACTCTGCCCTTCTCTTTATGTAATTCAAAATTTGTAAAAAAAAAAAAAAGCTCCTAACAAGACAGAAAGGTACATTATTTTCACTATTCAGTCCTCTTTCTAGATTTATGCTTATTCACATTTAACGCTCAAGTTTATAGTTATAATACCATAATACACACTAATATTTTATACCAAAGGTTACTAAGGCACAAAGAACTTAAATAATTTGCCTGTTGCTGTTTAGTGACTTGGTGCCTGAATTCAAGCACAGATTTTTCCCCACAACATGTACTATTAACCTACAATGCAGTTTTTAAGTACATGTCTGGAATATTTGTGGGTAATATAGCATTGGTTTTACTCATATTCCAGCTATCAAATGCATTCTGTTTATATTCTTATCTACACTATGTAGTCATCAGATCTGGACAGTGAAAACATTTAAAATCTTTGTAATACATTGGTGTGGGGGTAAGAATGACACAGTATTTGAGTTTGCTAGACAGGTATACTACTATTTAAGATATAACCCTATCCCTTTATTATGCTTTTTTTTTTTTTTGCCAGTACTAGGATTTGAATTTAGGGCCTGAGCACTATCCTTTAGCCTTTTCTTTTTTTTTTTTTTGGTCGGTCATGGGCTTGAACTCTGGCCCTGAGTGATGTCTCTTGGCTCTTCAGCTGAAGGTGAGCGCTCTACCACTTGAGCCACAGTGCCATTTCCAGTTTTCTGTTAGTTAATTGGAGATAAGAGTCTCATGGGCTTTTTCTGCCCCAGCTGGCTTTGAACTGTGATCTCAGATCTTAGCCTTCTGAGTAGCTAGGATTACAGGCATGAGCCACCAGGGCCCAGCTCCTTTAGCTTTTTCACTCAAGGGCTCTCTACCATTTGAGCCACACAACTTCACTTCCAGCCAGAGACCAGTATCATGGACTTTCCTGCCTAGGATGGCTTTAAACTGCAATCCACAGGTCTCAGCCTCCTAAATAACTAAGATTATAGGTGTGAGGCACTAGTGACTAGCTTGTAATATGCTTTTTTTTTCAGATTTTTTATTGTGATTAAGTGGTTACATAATTTCCCAAATTTCACAGTACTGTCGGATAGTGAAGCTTAGTTAAAGTCACAAACGCATTCTAATTTTATATGCTTTTGACAAATTATTTCAAATAAAGAGATATGCTTATCACCTTTTCATATTCTTCTTCAGAAGGGTTATATTTCCTTAGCCACTCTGCAAGTGGCTTATCTTTGAAGGATCCTGTCACACCATATTCCACTTGAATTTTCCTGAGGGTATCTGAAGCAGGAACTAACTCCACCATGCCTTTAACAAAATAAATAAGTAAATAAGTTATGTGCAAATGTCTTCCAAAAAGAAGTCTTTTTAAAATTACACAAACATTGTCTGTACATCCATGTGTAAATCCCTAAAGGATAATCATTGGGATGAATAGATATAAGCTGTCTCAAGTATGTGCTTGGACTTCCTAACTGGAATGTTGCTGCTAGGCAAAGTGTCTTTTCTTAACTGCTTTAAAACAAGCACCCAATGTATTAATTATGGGATATGTACAAAATGGACTTCAGTGAGGTAGTTCTTAACGGGCTTATGGAAAAAGAGCTTATGTATCAGTTTGAAGCCAGTCTGGGCAGGAAAGTTCATGAGACTGTTATCTACAATTAACCATGAAAAAGCCAGAAGAGGAGCTGTGGCTCAAGTGATAGAGTGCCAGCTTGAATGAAAAAGCTGAAGGACAGTGTACCCAGGCCTTAGGTTCAAGCCCTAGAACCAGAACAACAACAACAACAACAAACCAGGACAAAATCCTGATGGGAAATTTTTTGTGGGGGTTCGAGGTGTAGCTCAGTTGGCAGAGCACTATCCAATGAGCTTGAAAGTGCCAGGTACCAAGTTCAAGTCCCAGTCTCAGGTCCAAAAAAGAGAGAATTATTTGTGTTTATAAAAACTGTTGCCAGGGTGGGGAGTGGGGAGGGAGGGGGTGTGGGGAGATGGGAAGGGATGGTAAGAGGAAACAAAAGAGGAGGCAACAATGCTTGATAAGAAATGTACTCATTACCTTGCTCATGTAATTGTAACCCCTCTGTATGGTATTTTCACAATAAAAAAAAAATTTGCCAGGCACTGGTGGCTCACACCTATAATCCTAGCTACTCAGGAGGCTGAAATCTGAGGATTGTGGTTCAAAGCCAGCCTGGGCAGGAAAGTCCATGAGACTCTTATCTCCAACAAACCACCAGAAAACCGGAAGTGGTGCTGTGGCCCAAGTGGTAGAGCACTCATCTTGAGCTGAAGAACTCAGGAACTTCAACCAGGCCCAGAGTTCAAGCCCCACGACCAACATGCATGTTATGCATATTTGAATATAAAAAATTATGCTTTAAAGGCTATGTAATGGTAATATTTTAGGACTCAGATACTTATGATAGAGGAGGAAGGTGTGAGAGAAAACCAAAATTTACAATTAATTCTATTATGTTATCTGGGTATTTTAATAAGTACACATATAACTTAAAAAATGGTTTATTTACTTTTTGTGTGTGTAGGTGTGTCATTACTGAGGCTTGAATTAGGGGCTTACCCACTGTTCTTTAGTTTTTTTGCTCAAGGCTGGCATGCTTATCACTTGAGTCACAGTTCCACGTTAGCCTTTCTGGTGGTTAATTAGACCAGAGTCTTGCAGACTTTCCTGCACAGACTCGCTTTTAACTGTGGTCCTTAAATCTCAGTCTCCTGAAGTCTTCTGAGTAGGCGTGAGGCACCGGCACCTGACTTCATTTAAACATTTTTAAATGAACGATATATATTTGTATGTAAAAAAGAAAACATTTGGGGCTGGGAAGGTGGCTCAGTGGTAGAGCGCTTGCCTTGCACGCCTGAGGCCCTGGATTCGATTCCTCAGCACCACATAAGCAAAAAGAAAAAAGCCGGAAATGGCGCTATGGCTCAAGTGGTAGAGCACTAGCCTTGAGCTGAAGAGCTGAGGGACAGCGCCCAGGCCCAGAGTTCAGGCCCCACAATCGGACCCAACATAAATAAATAAATAAGGAAACATTGAACTACTTTCCACCAAGGCTTTCAAGAAAACCAAGCTGACCATGACCTCCAGGCAACCATACAGAAAATACATAGGACTAGGTGGTAACAGTCTGATTTTATATAGCAGAAGGAATTCATTTGGCAATTTTAGATTATTTGATTTGCATCAGCTAGTTTATAGTTCACAGTGGTATCTTTCTTCTATGAGTGTATTCATCTTGACTGCATATCTATGTCTAATTACATTTTTTTAAAAAGTGCACCGAAGTTTTTAAGAGATACATAATTCTACTATCTATATAAGATACAGTCTCTACTCTGAGAGAATATATAATCAATATATAACATTCAGAGGGAAAAACTGAGAATATAAAACAAATATCTGGTGAACATTAAGACAGTATGGGAGTTGAAAGAGAAAGTACTTTAGGATGAGAAGCTTGTGAAAAACTTCACAGAGGATCTGGTTGCCATCCTCTCCCCTTCCATTCTCATTTATTCATTCATTCATTCATTCTGTTTCTGTCCCTCTCTCTCTATCCCTCTCTCCCTCCCCTCTCTTCCTCTCTCTCCTCTTTAAGTTTAAACTCAGGGCCCCATGCTTGCTAGGCAGGTTCTCTATCAACTCCAGTCACACCCCAAAACTTTTCCACCTCATTTGTTGAGATGGGACCTACTTTTTCCCTAAGCTTGCCTTAAGCCATGATCTTTCTGATCTCCGTATACCAAGCAGCTGAGATTTCAGACATGAGCTTGTGTGGCCAGCCTTGACTGTGATTTCATTTTTTTTCTTTGTCAGTCATGGGTCTTGAACTCAGGGCCTGGGCACTGGTCCCTGAGCTTCTTTTGCTCAAGACTTTTGTTCAAGGTGAGCATGCTACCACTAAGCTACATTCCTACCCTGTGGTTTCTTTATATGAAAAAATAAGAACAGTTATCTAACACAAGTGAAAAGTATGGCACAGGACAAGGTACATCCTAAGCATTCACTCATTAGTTAGAAAACTTTAAAAAGCAGGGAATTTAACAGAATTTCGAAAAGAGGAAGTTGAGGGCTGGGAAGGTGGCTCAGTGGTAGAGTGCTTGCCTTGCATGCATGAGGCCCTGGGTTCAATTCCTCAGCACCACATAAGCAGAAAAATCCAGAAGTGGTGCTGTGGCTCAAGTGGTAGAGCGCTATCCTTGCGCTGAAGAGCTGAGGGACTGTGCGTAGGCCCAGAGTTCAGGCCCCACCATCAACAAAAAGAAAAAAGAAGTTGAATAAAGTGTTGTGACCAAAAAAGTAATCTAATTGAGACAGGCTTGTGTTGAAGAATCTTGCTTGATAAAATAACTCTCAGTTTATAATAAGATTTCGTAAAAATAATCATCAAGAATTCTTAAACTGATCTGACTCTGTGTATATGTGTGTGTGTGTGTGTGTGTGTGTGTGTGTGTGCACGCGCACATGCGTGCACATGTGCAAGGGTCCTGGTGCTTGAACTCAGTGCCTGGGCATTGTACTTTTGTAGTTACTGCAGAGTGTTTATTAGGGCTATGCAATGAGTTGATTTTTAACAAGAAACACACCTCCCACCCACAGCTCACACCTACTCAGGGGGCTGAGATCTGAGGTTCTTAGTTTAAAGTCAGCCCAGACAGGAAAGTCTGTGATATTCTTATCTCCAATTAACAACCAGAAAACTGGAAGTGGGGCTGCGATTCAAGATGCTAGCCTTGAGTGAAAAACATTAGAGACAGCACCCAGGCTCTGAGTTCAAGCCCCATGACTGACAAAACCAGCAAAACAACTGAGACTACAATATATCTTCATCAGGACCCTTATGTTAGACACACTCCTAGTTCACCAAAAAATAAGGTTCCAAGAATAACTCACCTCGATCTCTGCCAGTTGAAAGACATTTGAAAATTACCATTCTCAGATCCAGTCCTTCTTTAAGCCAGATCTTATCCATAATTTTTATCATCTGTAAAGCTAACATATCTTGCCGAAGATCTTCACCAACCTTGAAATCAAAGAAATAAAACTTGTACTTTTCCAAAAGACTTATTAGATATATATAAATACTATAAAGTCTGGATAGAGGGGTAGAACAAATGAAGAATAAGATAAACAGAATTGCACTTTCATTCTTCAATAGCATTCTAGAGAAAATTCCTTAGCCTCTTCTTACCTGAATATCCTAACAGTATATTCTATTTTTATTTATTTTTGAGGCAGTTCTGAGGTTTGAACTCAGGGCCTTGTGCTTCCTAGGTAGGCACTCTGTTACTCGAGACACACCTTCAATGTTGTGATTAGTTTTTTGTTTTGTTTTGTTTTTTAAACATACTAGGCAAGTACTCTATCACTGAGCTACACTGCTTTGAACAAAACATGTTAAAAGATGAGTTTTAGAGAATGTAAACTATCTTCAATTTAGGATGGGCAACATGGGGATCACTCTTTGTAATAATTTGGGTCTTTACTATATCGAAGCCAATAACTTAATTGTCATACTGCACTATAGTTAACAAGTTGTTACCACTGAGAGAAATTGAGGAAAGGGCCCAAAGGCTCTCTGTATAATTTCCTTCCTTCCTTCCTTCTGTTTGCTTGCTTGCTTGCTTGCTTCCTTCCCTCTTTTCTTTTCTTTTTTTTTTGGGGGGGGGTCCGGTCATGGGGCCTGAACTCTGGGCCTGGGCGCTGTCCCTCAGCTCTTCAGCTCAAGGCTAGCGCTCTACCACTTGAGCCACAGCGCCACTTCTGGCTTTTTTCTTTTTGCTTATGTGGTGCTGAGGAATCAAACCCAGGGCCTCATGCATGCAAGGCAAGCACTCTACCACTGAGCCATCTTCCCAGCCCCTCCTTCCCTCTTTTCTCTCCCTCCCTCCTTCTTTCCTCTCTCCCTCTTTCCTTTCCTTCCTCTCTTCATTTTTCTTTGCCTCTTTCTTCCTTTCCTTCCCTCTCCCCATCTTGATCACTTTTTCTTCGTTTTAGAGACGGGCTCTCATGCAGTATGGGATGGCCTAAGATTCCTTCTGTAGCCAAGGCTGGCCTCAAACCCTCAATCTTCCTGCCTCTACTTCCCCAGTGCTACAATTACAGGTTTGTGTCATTAACCTAGATTTCTGTATAATTTCTTATAACTGTCTGAATCTGTAATTATCTCAAAATAAAAAGATAAATTAAGTCTACCTGGAACCTCTACCAATTTCCATTTTCTCTTTAAAAAATATTTTAAATGTAATGAAGAGCTCATGCCTATAATCCTACCTACTCAGGAGACTGAGATCATGGTTCAAAGCCAGCCTAGGCAAGAAAGTCCATGAAACTCTTATCTCCAATTAACCACCAGAAGGCAAAAGTGGTGCTGTGTCTCAAGTGGCAGAATGCTCGACTTGAGCTGAAAAGCTGAAGGACAGCAACCAGGCTCAGAGTTCAAGCCCATGAACAACTATATATAAAATGAAGAGTACATTTTTGAGTCTGGAGAATTAGGGGGCTTTGTCTTCACACACAAAATTTCTGTATTTCAAATACTTGATACTGCTTTAGAAAAAATGGCACTTAAAGCTGGGAACTGGTTCCTCACACCTGAAATCCTAGCTACTCAGGAGGCTGAGATCTGAGGCAGCTCAGGCAGGAGAGTCCATTAAACTCTTATCTCCAATTAACCACCAAAATGCCAATAAGTAGAGCTGTGGCTCAAGTGGTCAGCACTAGCCTTGAGAGAAAAAGCTTAAGGACAATGCCTAGGCCCTGAGTATAAGCACACAGAAAGAAAGGAAGAGAGGGACAAAGAGAGAAAGAAACATTAACATTGCATAAAAAGAAATAATGAAGCCCCATAAGCTGAGTATATGGGAAATTTATATATATAAATGGTTCAATGAAGTTAACTTTATGGATTTTCACTTATTGAATTAACTAAAAGTCTTCACTCTTCAAAATACACAAATTATGATCACAATACACAGAAGTTTGATAAGTACTAAATTACTCTGTGCAACTCTAGTACTGCTGTTACTCATAGATAATTAGTATGCTTCCAAAACTCAGTGCTGCTCTTGTAATTTTGCAGTTTGCACAGCATGAATCTAAGTGGTGCTGTTCATATCAGTCTGCCACAGGGCTACTTCTAGCTTTTTTCTGCTTACTTGGTGCTGAGGAATCGAACCTAGGGCTTCATGCATGCGAGGCAAGCACTCTACCACTAAGCCAACTTCTCAGCCTCTAAAATACTTTTAAACTGATATTCCTTTAAAGTAATGCTAGCTTGGTACAGAGGTATACACCTACAGTCCCAGCTACTTGGGAGCCCAGGACAGCAACCAAAGCAACACAGTGATATTTTGTCTCCAAGAAAGAAAAAAGAAAAAAGTAATCTTACTTTGCTCACCTTAAACATAACGTTAATTTCTTCTCCCATAGGATCAGCATTCACCATTGTGACTTTTAGAGGTACAGCATTAGAACTGAAGAAAGAACATGACTACAAATACAACATTCAAGCATTAAAAAGATAATACTGGAATAAAAATAAATTGAGGAATTATTTTTATCCAAGCCATTTCTCCTTTTATGTTATTTGAATGAGGATAAATAATAGGAAAATAAGGAAGTGGCGCTGTAGCTCAAGTGGTAGAGCGCTTGCCTTCAGCTGAAGAGCTGAAGGACAGTGCCCAGGCCCAGAGTTCAAGCCCCATGACCGACAATAATAATAATAATAATAGGAAAATGAAAATCATCTAGCAGATGTATATAAAAACAAATTTTGAAATTTAAACATATTATGACTAAAATATCTCTGTAAATTCAGAGGCAAAAATTTTTAAATCTGAGATAAAAGTTTTAAAGTTTTCTAAGTGTCCAAATCCTTCAAAATTTAGTGAACAAAATTTAGTGATGAGATCTCTATTTCTTCCACTTATGGGTACTGTTACAATGACTTATGCATGAATCAAACACTGACAAAAATATTAATAAGCTAGTAGCAAAAAAAACTTATTGGTTGAGGTCCTTGGGCATGCAAGGCAAGCACTCAACCACAACCGAGCTGTAACACTCATACAAAGCACATAGTAAAATAAAATTAGCTAAAAAGCGAATTTAAGACTTTCAGACCAACTTAAGAGGAATAACAACAAAATCTAAGGTACTAAATAATGTTATACCTTTTCTCTTTCAGTAATAGGTGCTAAGACATAGACCCTAATGACAACGAAATTTGTTTTCCTAAGTACTTATAGCCAAACTATGCAAGTTTTATCCTCATTTGCTATAAGTATATCTATGCATTTCCCTTCTTCTATATGTTATTTTGGAATTTAGTATGTGTTCTTAAGTATTAGATCACCTTAATATTTAATTCTTTTGCCACTAGACTTGGTTTGAGAGGAAGCCGACAATTATTTTCCTGAAAAAACAACTGTACACGTTCCATACTCCTCTGGAGGACAACCTATGGAAGAAATGGTTACAATCAGTACATAAGGAAGTTGTACTAGGGGCTGGGAAGGTGGCTCAGTGGTAGAGTGCTTGCCTTGCATGCCTGAGGCCCTGGGTTCGATTCCTCAGCACCACATAAGGAAAAAGAAAAAAACCGGAAGTGGCGCTGTAGCTCAAGTGGTAGAGCGCTTACCTTGAGCTGAAGAGCTGAGGGACAGCGCCCAGGCCCAGAGTTCAAGCCCCACGACCGACAAAAATAAAAAATAAAATTAAAATAAAGTTAACAAGTTCTGTTTCTGGTATCTAGGAATTTATTTTAAGCCATATAGCAAGTAAAAACTAATTAAATACAGAGCTATAATGTGCCAAATATTCTCCAATAGAAGGTTTTGTTATTTTTGGTTTTATTTTGCAAGATAAAATTTTAGTTTCCTGATAATAATACATTCAGAAAGACATGCGGTATCCACAATAAATAGTCTTTCTTTTGTTGTTTTTTTGTTTTTATCTTGTCGGTCATGGGGCTTAAACTCTGGGCTTAGGTGCTGTCCCTCAGCTCTTCAGCTCAAGGCAAGCACTCTACCATTTGCACCACAGCACCACTTCTTGTTTTCTGAGTGGTTTACTGGAGATAAGAGTCTCATGGACTTTTTCTGCCCAGGCTGGCTTTGAACCCTGATCCTCAGATCTCAGCCTCCTGAGTAACTAGGATTACAGGAGTAAGCCACCAGGCACCCCGCAATAGTCTTAAGTACACTATTTCAGAATGTGCCATCTCATAGATACTAGCAATGGAAACATGTTACTCAATAAAATTTAAATCTTACCAATATAAACTGTGTGCTATCTGGATATTTCCCAATGCTCTGGACAGAAGGAAGTGCACTAATGAACTATTCAAGTAAATTTCATATTTCAAAGCCTAAGTGTAGAAAAAAGTAAGAATTAATTAGTGGTCAAACACATACTAAGTTGTTGGGATGACATTATCAAAATATTAATCATAAAAACTCAATATTATTCTTACTGATGAAAGTATGATATTTACCAAAAAAAAAATCTAACTGGGCTGTATATAGCTAAATGGTAAACTACTTTCATAGCATGTGAAAAGAGATGTATTCAGTCCATAGCACTATATAAACACAGGTTAATTAATGTAGGCCAGTAAACAAAAATCAAGGAAAAGCACTAATCTAGTTTGAGAATTAAAAATTCAGGTGGAGCAAATCAAAACTGCCATACATGGCAATTTCAATCAAAATAGAAAGAGGATCCCTTAGCAGGTTCCCTCCTTACAAAAACCAGGGTAGAGTCAAAAGAAGAAAAAACTCACTTGCACAAACTGTGGAAGAAGATCTGTTAGCTCATCATCACTAATAGCCTCAATCCAAGCCACAGCTAGGGATCTCACTTCCTGATCAGCAAATCTAGAATATCAGAAATTCAAGATTTGACAATGATTTCTTTCTTTTTTTTTTTTTTTGGGGGGGGGTCCGGTCATGGGGCCTGAACTCTGGGCCTGGGCGCTGTCCCTCAGCTCTTCAGCTCAAGGCTAGCGCTCTACCACTTGAGCCACAGCACCACTTCCAGCCTTTTTTCTTTTTGCTTATGTGGTACTGAGGAATCGAACCCAGGGCCTCAGGCATGCAAGGCAAGCGCTCTACCACTGAGCCAACTTCCCAGCCCTGACAATGATTTCTTTCTAGTGAAGCTGATTTCCTAAATATACAATCGCAATTTAATTTTGACAGAAGAAATTCAAATAGCTGTTCATTCAAAAGCAATAATATTTGTTCTTTTTTAAAGAATAAAATTTCCCTTTACAAATACAGATTCAACATTTTGGAACTATTTAGAAACTTTAAGTGCATAAAAATTAGTTTTAGCTCTACAATAAGTCAATATTTACAACTTAAAATTCTCAGTTCTAAATGACACGAATAACTTTTTATGAGTAGTTTTATGCAAATGATCATGCTTATATAAATACACCTTTATAAATTTACATTGTATGGAACTGCTTCTTCTGCAACATACTATTACTAGAAAAACTGACAATACAATGGAGAAAACACATGTATTTGACCTACTTTGAATCAAGAAGCTCCAATGCAGTCAGTGGGCACAATGGTGGCCATTGGTGAAGTAATGAGTAAGTTTTGGCAAGATTAACCCATTTCCAGTTTGGGGCACTTGCTAGTATTTTAGGAAGGCAATTTGGGTGTTTGAGGCAATAATAACGTTTCTCCCACAAAAAGGCTTTATCTTCTTTAGAAAGTCTGTATACACAATATAATTAAATAAGCTCATTGATATTACAAAAATGACATAGTTAAATTCCCAATGATTAAAAATACAAAGAAGAAATTCATTTGGACAGCAATTTCTTGGTGGAATCATTAATACTATTGGAATAGAAAAACAGAATGGATAGCCAAGATTGCCAATTTACCCTAATTTAGAAACAGAAACAAATCATTCTTCCCTCACAAAAGACCCTTAGTTATGAAAATAAAGGTTAATTTAGTAAAATAAAAATTTATTGAACTCCAATAAGATGCCAAAATAAGATCTCACACTAATATCAAGAAAGTTGGTTCTGGTGGCTCACATCCGTAATCCTAACTACTCAAGGGGCTAAAACCTGGAGACTACCTCCAAATAACGAGTTCAAACACCTGGTACCCTCTACACACACACACACACATACGCACGCTCGCACGCACACGCATAAACAAAAATAATAGCGGCAGAAGCCAGTGGCTCATGCCTGTAATCCTAGCTACTCAGAAGGGTGAGATCTGATGACTGAAGTTCAAAGTCAGCCAGGGCAGGAATTCCACAAGACTCTTATCTCCAATTTGCCACCAAAATGCTAACTGGGAAAAAGCGAAGAAAGGGGTAACATTGTCCAAAAAAGAAATGTACTCATTTTCATTACCTGCCTTGTGAAATGGTAACCCTCTGTTAACAACACCTTAATAACAATAAAATTACATTAAAAAAATAAATAGGTAAAAGTGAAAAAAAAAAAAAGCTGGAAGTGGAGCTGTGGCTCAAATGGTTCAGTACTAGCCATGAGTACAAAAGTGACAGTGTTTAAGCCCCAGAACCAGGGGAGGAAAAATGATAGCAAGGATCATCATTTTATGTAAGTAAAATTAAATGTCACATAGAAAACAAATATTACTCTGAAATTTTAGAAAATGATTATATCATTGAATTAAGAAAGCTAAAATAAGCAGGGCACCGATGGCTCATGCCTATAATCCTGGCTACTCAGGAGGCTGAGATCTGAGGATCGCAGTTCAAAGCAAGCCCCGGCAGAAAAGTCTGTGAGACTCTTGCCTCCAATTAACCACCAGAAAACTGAATGTGGCACTGTGGCTCAAGTGGTACAACACTCACTGGCCTTGAGCTGAAGAGCTGAGGGAGAGTGTCCAGGCCCAGTGTTCAAGACAAAAAAAAAAAAAAGAAAAAAGTTAAAATGAACTTAATTTGAAGATTCTAATTGCATTAAGCTTAATGAATGTTCATATGAATAAAACATCCACAATTAACCAACATTAATTTCTCTATATTTTACATATAGAGAATGTAAAGTACTGAGAAATATTCAAATACTGAAAAAGGTATACAGTAAAAGTCTCTCAATTCTTCCCAAAACACCTCTTACCACTGTGCTTATTTTTTCACAAATACTCTATTCATGTAGAAGCACCCATATGGGAATATTTTCTTTTCATTTCCTTTATGTTAGTGGTGCAACTGCATATACTAATCTACTCTTTTATTTCTTCATTTAATATTGCTTATACATTAATATGTATCTATAACCATTTTCTTAACAGTTATATTCTTCCACTGGATAATTTCACTAGTACTGATGGGTATTTTCAGTAGGTTTTAGCAATCCAAATAAATATTACAATGAACATTCTTGTTTCGATAAGGAAGTATATAAGTAGTTTCTCTAAGATATCCAGCTGGAAGGAACACTGCTGAATTGCAGAACAAACACATTGTAACTTTCACAGATTTTGTAAATTATTCTCTAAAAGGAGAACAATTCTGCCAATAGAGTAATTACCATGTTTTTGTATTTTCAGCAACACTTTATAGAATGAATCATTTTGATTTTTGTCATTCTAATGGCTGTAAGCTAATATGCTCCATTATTTTATATTTTCTTGATGACTAGGAGGTTGGAAATCTTTTTAGATGTTTAAAAGGAACTGTATGTCTTTTTTGAAGAATTGCCTGTACATACTTCCTTTCTTTTACAACTTTATCTTACTAATATGATAAGGCTCTTTATAGAAAAAAGAAGTTAGTCCACTGAAATCTATTGTAAATATATTTTTTTTCAGTTTGCTTACATTTTTATCAAGTAAAAAGGGACTTGGAAGCTGGGGACTGGTGGCTCAGGCCTATACTCCTAACTACTCAGGGGGCTAAGATCTGAAAACTTCAAAGCCCAGGCAGGAAAGTCCATGAGTCTTTTTATTTTTTTTTTTGGTGGGTCATGGAGCTTAAACTCTGGGCTTGGATGCTGTCCCTCAGCTCTTCAGCTCAATGTCAGCACTCTACCACTTGAGCCACAGCACCACTTCTGGTTTTCTAGTGGTTTATTGGAGATAAGAATCTCACGGACTTTTCTACCTGGGCTGGCTTTGAACTGTGATCCTCAGATCTCAGCCTCCTAAGTAGCTAGAATTACAGGAGTGAGCCACCAGTGCCCAGCTCCTTGAGTCTTTTATCTCCAATTAATTGCTGGAAGTGGCATTGTGGCTCTCAGTGCCCAGGCTTTGAATTCAAGCCCCGCAACCAACAACAACAACAAAAGTGACTTGGACAAGTTTCCTAACTTTGTTTTCTTTTTTTTCCTTTTTTTTTTAACTGGCCCTGAAACTTGAACTCAGAATCAAGGTGCTGCCCCTGAGCTTTCTTTTTTTTCCTTTTTTTTTTTTTTAACTGGCCCTGGAACTTGAACTCAGAATCAAGGTGCTGCCCCTGAGCTTTTCTGCTGAAGGCTAGCACTCTACCACTTGAACCACAGCTCTACTTCCTGCCTTTTTGTTGGTTAATTGGAGATGTCTTACAGACTTTCCTGCTCAAGCTGACTTCAAATTTGCAATCTTCAGATCTCAGCATCCTGAGTAGATAGGATTATAGGCGTGAACCACCAACGCTCAGCTATGTTTCCAACTTTTATGTAGTCATATAGTTTCTCTTGATGGTACTGGGGACTGAAACCAGGATTCTGCATATACTAGGCAAATGCTTATCACTAAACTATACCTCTAATTCCCATATAGTCATTTGATACAATTTTACAATAAATATCATAAATCACATGTCACTCTGGGGAATGCAAATCATGTACTAAATCACTTGTAAATTATGAGCTAAATGACAGCGTTTAATATAACCCTTGAGTTTTACATCGTAGGAAATTCCCAAGCAAAATAGAATAAGCAAAGCATACCCAAGTGATGAATCTCTGTGAAGAATATCAAGAAGTTTCTCTTTTATATCATGTTCCAGTGTCTCTAAGTCTTGTTGCTGTGTAACACTTCTGTCAACTTGAGGATTTGTATAAATAATATCAAATGTAGGAGAAGGAAAATCAACCTTAAAGTTTTAACAAAAGTTGGTGAGTTGAAACTGCCAAATTAGCTTTATGAAGAACTGGCATTTTTTAGCAATCAGGATAGATTAACTGAGTATCAAATTAGTAGTTATTGTCTTTTTGTTGAAAATGATTATCAATATTTGGTAATTCTTAATAGCAGTATATAGTGTACATATATATAACATATTTCTTGTAATAAGTTTTTGGGTTGTTTTTATTTTTGGTTGGTCATGGGGCTTGAACTCTGGGTCTGGGTGCTGTCTCTAAGCTCTTCAGCTCAAGGCTAGCACTCTACCATTTAAGCCACAGTGCCACTTCTGGTTTTCTGGTGGTTAATTGGAGATAAGAATCTCACTGACTTTCCTGCCCGGGCAGGCTTTGAACCGTGATCCTCAGATCTCAGCCTCCTGAGTAGCTAGGATTACAGGCATGAGCCACGGGCACCAGGCTTATTTCTTTTCTTTTTTTTTCTTTTTTCTTTTGGTCGGTTGTGGGGCTTGAACTCTGGGCCAGGGCACTGTCCTTCAGCTCTTCAGCTCAAGGCTAGTGGTCTACCACTTGAGCCACAGGGCCACTTCTGGTTTTCTGAGTGGTGTACTGGAGATAGGAGTCTCACGGACTTTCTTGCCCAGGCTGGATTTGAACTTCTATCCTCAAATCTCAACCTCCTAGGATGGTAGGGGAAAAACAAAGGAGGAGGCAACAATGCTTGATAAGAAACGTACTCATTACCTTGCTCATGTGATTGTAACCCCTCTGTACATATTTTCACAATAAAAAAAAATTATAAAAAAAATCTCAACCTCCTGAGTAGCTAGGATTACAGGCATGAGACACCGGTACCCAACCCAGATTCTTTTCTTTCTTTCTTTCTTTTTTGTCGGTTGTGGGGTCTGAACTCTGGGCCTGGGCACTGTCCCTTAGCTCTTCAGCTCAAGGCTAGCACTCTACCAGTTGAGCCACAGGGCCACTTCTGGCCTTTTCTGCTTATGTGGTAATAAGGAATTGAATCCAGGGCCTCATGTATGCAAGGCAAGCACTCTACCACTGAGCCACCTTTTGGTTACTTTTTTTTTTTGTCGGTCATGGGGCTTGAACTCTGGGCTGAGTGCTGTCCCTCAGCTCTTCAGCTCAGGGCTAGCGCTCTACCACTTGAGCTACAGCGCCACTTCTGGTTTTCTGTTGGTTTATTGGAGGTAAGAGTTTCACAGACTTTCCTGCCCAGGCTGCCTTTGAACAGCGATCCTCAGATCTCAGACTCCTAGGCAGCTAGGATTACAGGCATGAGCCACAGGCGCCCAGCTGGCTTATTTCTTGTAATTAGTTTAATACATATTTTTCTCTTTCTCAGAAACTGGAAAAGATTTTATAAAAGGTTTTATGACATTTAAGTTGAAGATAGATAAAAGAAGATTGATGAGATTCCCTTAGTAACAACCCAGATCATATTATACACAGACACTTTTTATAAAGAAATTTAAATTTAAACCTTTCCACATGTCAAGAACCTTTACCTGTAGCACTATTCTTTCCATGACATTTCCTTTTTTGGGAATTGTTCCAGGAATAGAATTTACATGTGATGAAGTCCAAAGGTATAGAAGTTTAGTTCCACATGTTAAAAACCTTCATGAATAAAGAAATAATGATTTTCATTTAAAAATCCAAAACTTTAAACACATATCAACTGTTAATGTGAACAGAAAGTATCACTTCTCATCTTTCTTTAAGAATATATCAGGAGGGGCTGGGAATGTGGCTTAGTGGTAGAGTGCTTGCCTAGCATGCATGAAGCCCTGGGTTCGATTCCTCAGTACTACATAAACAAAAAAACAAGCAAACAAAACCTGGAAGTGGTACTGTGGCAAGTGGTAGAGTGCTAGCCTTGAACCAAAAAAGCTTAGGGACAGTGCCCAGGCCCTGAGTTTAAGTCCCAAGACTGGCAAAAAATAAATATATATATGGATTCACTCTCTATATGTTACTAACATTTTAGGTAAACATTTGAAATACTGAAGTTTAGTATAGGAAAGAAAGGTGAGAATGAAAAATGTACCTTGAAAAGAATAATCTCTAAGCCAAGAAAAGGAATCACCTGTCCTCAAACAACTTCTATAAACAAGAAGGTATAAAGGATAGTCATTCAAGATTCTCTAGACAGGGCTCTCAGGGTGGTGGTATGGATTAAAGAACTGCTTCCTGATGTCTACAATTAGAATAAGAACACACAAAAAAACTGCAATTTCATGACAAATCACATTTTTCTCATTTGAGATGAGAAAAATCTGTGTCTTTTTTAGCAAACCATTAATTAATTAACTAGCTAAGGGATGGGCTTTATGGGCTGCACCATCTCTGTTGCTAAGATTCAAGTTTGCTGTTGTAATAGTAGCTATGAATACATAAATGAATATTATGCTATATTATATATCTCAAAAACCAGGCAAGGGGGTCAGGTGCTGTGACTCCTCCAGAATCCCAGATACTTAGGAGGCAAAAATAAGGAAGACAGTAGTTGAGGCCAGCTGGGGCAAAAATTTATCGAGAACCCCATTTCAATCAATAAAGCTGGGGGGTATAATGGCATGTCTCTATCATTCCACCTATGAGGATATGTAAACAGGAAGACTGCAGTCCAAGCCAGCCAGCCAGCCAGCCAGCTCAAACAAAAATGCAAGATCCACCAGGGGCTGATGGCTCTCACCTGCAATCCTACCTATTCATTAGACTGAGATCTGAGAATCACAGTTCAAAGCCAGCCTGGGCAGCAAAGTCCGTGAGACTCTTACCTCCAATAAACACCACCAGAAACCAGAAGTGGTGGTGTGGCTCAAGTGGTTGAGTGCTCACTTTGAGCTGAAGAGCTGAGGGACAGCACCCAGACCCAGAGTTCAAGCCCCATGACTGAGAGGGAAAAAAAAAAAAAGCAAGATCCTACTTAAAAAAAAAAAAAAATGAGGGAGGGGTTGGGGATTCCTGCCTATCAAACACAAAGCCTGAGTTCAAATCCAGTGTATAGTTATTTCACCTATAAATTTGGTTACAGATTTCTAAACAAAAAACGATTTCCTTTTAAAGTAAATATAATACTAGTCACCCCTAAAATAACTACTAGTTGATACCATGAAATATTTTGTCAGTATTCAAATGTCCTTGAGAGTCTTAGCATTTTAAAAAACAAAACAAACAAAAACAAAAACAATGGGGTTGCTAGAAACAATCCAAACAAAGTCCAACACTTGCACCTAGTTGATACCTTTGGGGAAGAAGAGCAGCAGGGGATGTTTTGACTCAAAGCCTCATGTGTATTACCTGTGTTAGCTTTTAGACTTGTAACATCACATACGTAACTCTCAAAGCCTAAAGAGCATTTCCCTATCTGATATCTCTCCTCTCTCTCTCTCTCTCTCTCTCTCTCTCTTTCTTTCTCTCTCTCTTTTCCTGGTCATGGGGGTTGAATTCTGGGCTTGGGCACCGTCCCTGCGGTCTTCAGCTCAAGGTGAGCATTCTACTCCTTGAGCAACAGAACCACTTCTGGTTTTCTGGTGGTTAATTGGAGATAAGAGTCTCATGGACTTTCCTGCCTGGGCTGGCTTTGAACCATGATCCTCAGATCTCAGCCTCTGAGTAGCTAGGATTACAGGTGTGAGCCATTGGCATCTGACTTTCTTTTCTTTTTCTACCCCTTGCTATTTGTTCAAAATTCAGGCTTTCTATATGTAGAATTTACAATAGCCTGAATTTTGCCCATTACATTTTTCTGGTATATTAAAGGGGTTTAGTTTTTTTTGTTTTGTTTTTTAATTCTCATTTGCAGGGCTGAGGATAGAACTGAGAGCCTAATACATGCTAGGCAAGCACTTAAAAACTAAGTCATGCCTCCAGTGTTGTTCAACAAAAACTCTTGTATTTTCTTTTTTTTTCTTTCTTTTTTGTTTTGGTCAGTCATGGGGCTTGAACTCTGGACCTGGGAGCTGTCCCTCAGCTCTTCAGCTCAAGGCTAGCACTCTACCACTTGAGCCACAGCGCCACTTCTGCTTTCTGGTGGTTAATTGGAGGTAAGAATCTCATGGACTTTCCTGCCCAGGCTGGCTTTGAACTATGATCCTCAGATCTCAGCCTCCTGAGTAGTTAGGATTACAGGTATGAGCCACTGGGGTCCAGCTAAACAGAAATATTTTAAAGAGAACTGGAAGACCAGGTTTACTGGTGTTATCTGATTACAAAGAGTTATCTGAACCAGATCATTAAATACTTTGTTTATATTTTTGAATATAAAATTTTCCCTTTTAATGTATTTATCAAGTGTCAAGACCTAACATGAAAAAAAAAAATCTAACAGGACCTTAGGTGACTATATTATTTTACAGAATTGAACTTAACACCATTCATTCACTCATTTATTATTTTTATTTGTTTCTGTTGGTACTGAGGCTTGAACTTGGGGCCTGGATGGTGTTCCTGAGTTTTGCTCAAGGCTGGTGCTTATCACTTGAGCCACAGCTCCACTTCAGGCTTTCTAGTGGTTAACTGGAGATAAGAGTCTCACTTTCCTGCCTAGGTAAGCTGCAAACCAGGATCCTCATATCTCAATCTCCTAAGGATTACAGTAATGAGCCATCAGTACCCTACTTTATTCATTATTTAATGGTAGTGCAAATGTGAACTACTGAAAAATCTAATAGAAGTCAACAATCTTTCACTTTCTTATTTCTTGAATTATGAAAGGATGTTATTCATTAAAAAAATCATTTATATGCAGGCAGGCACTGGTGGCTCACATAACATATGTAAGGCTAGCTACTCATTAGTCCAAGATCTGAGGATGTGGTTCACTGCCAGCTCAGGCAGGAAAGTCCTTGAGGCTTTTTTTTTTTTTTTTGCCAGTTCTAGGGTTTGAATTCACCTGGGCACTGTCCTTGAGCTTCTTTTGCTTAAGGCTAGCACTTTACCACTTGAGCCACAGAACCACTTCCAGCTTTTCTGTTTATGTGGTACTGAGGAATTAAATCCAGGGCTTCATGCATGTTAGGCAAGCACTCTACTACTAAGCCACATTCCCAGTCCCTTGAGACTCTTCAATAAACCACTCAGGAAAAAAAAAAGTCATTTATAGGTGGGCATGGTGGCTCTTGCTTGTAATCCCTTCAATTTAGGGAGGGGGAAATCACAAGATCACACTTTTCACCCTGGGTAAAAATGCCAAACCATACTAGAAAAATAACAAAAAGCAAGGGATTCCAGGGGGAGACCTGAATAGTAAACCACCTGCCCAGCAAATTCAGGGCCCTGAGTTCAAACCCCAGTACCATTAAAAAACAAAAAACAACAACAACAAAAACATTTATTATCAGACAACAGACATGGTTTAAAAAAAAAAGAAGTGGTTCTATAATTAAGCAAAATCCCCCAGGACCCCCAAAAGGATGTTTTTCAAAACTAGGGTATTTACAAAAATTAAAATTAATTTTCTCACAGTTACTCTCTCACACATTTATTAAAAAAGGTGAAAACAAATCTCTTTCATGGGGCCAATGATACCAGTATATTCTATTTTAGCAAACTAATGAATTATATTTAGGAAGATATCATTAAGAGTAATCCTTTCACCTGCTATCTTGTACTTTCCTCTAGCCTTTGATAGTTCAGAATTATAACAGGTGCCAAATAAAATTTCAAACTTTCAAAAAGTTTCCTTTCCTGCCTCAAGTATGAAGAAAGTGTAAGAAAAAGCAAGAAAATATATACCAGTTAATGCAATTTAAGTGAGAAACAGAAAAAAATTTGTGAAGATACAACTTCAAAGTAATGATTACTGGAAAACCAAATGGTGTGCTTGCCAGTTAAGAAATGGGAAGTAGGATTAGATTCATAGGATTATTTTGTTCTTGATATTATACTGCTTTTTGTTTGTTTTTTAAAACAGGGTCTCAGTATGTAGCCCAGAATGGCCTCAGCCTCATGATTCCTGGGATTTACAGGAGGTCATCACAATGCCCAGATTAAATTGTTTTTATACTAAAAAGATCCATTATCCCATCACTTCCCTATGAAACACAATGTCTCCAAATATTCTAGAGAAACCAGAAAGTATCATGGTATCTAGCAGATTTGGGAATGTCAATATAGGATAATATTCAAGAAGCCTCACCCAGGAATCATATCATATCAACACGCTCAAGTCTCACTTCTATCATGAAGAACAAGTAAAGCCTTTAGCCTCTGTATTTTGTTTCTCCTCTCTGTTATTCCTTTAAGATGACATTACTAAGGGCTGGGAATGTGGCTTAGTGGTAGATTGCTTGCCTAACATGCACAAAATCCTGGGTTCAATTCCTAAGCACCACATAAACAACAACAAAAATGGAAGTGGCACTGTGTCTCAAGTGGTACAGTCCAAGACTGGCAAAAAAAAAAAAAAAAAGACATTACTATCCCAATAGCTATTTGCCTAGGTTGGCCTCCAACTTGCAAACTTCCTTGTCTTAGCATACCAAGTGCTGGTTTTTCAGGTTCATGCCACCATGTTTAAATCTTCTGAGCTTTAATAGTATCATTTGTACTTAAGGGTAGGAAAACAGAATCCTGAAATAGGTTTCTGCACATATAGGGGATATCTTTGAAGATTAAAGACAAGGGGCCTATAACAATTTCCAATTTGTCCAATAAAGAGAATTAATGAAGACAGTAATATATAACTGTAGTCTCTCTAAAACGATAAGAGCAGAAAAAGAATGAAAAGAGGAAGAGTTCTTATATTAATATCAAGGAAACTGATAAGAGCATATTATTATGTCAACAATATAGTACTTTACAGAAACAATCATTGGTTACTACTTTTCTCCTCGAATAGTGAGTGGCAAATAATGTTCTGCAAACATTACAGAAATTATAGACATTATAGAAATACTAAAACAGAATAATTAGTTTCCTCTGCTCTGTATCTTTGAGCTTATCTCCTTTATATTACAACTAAAAGGCTGATGTTTATTTTTAGTTCTGTCCTCCAGATAATTTTGATGTGCAGATGTGCCAGAGTAACCCCCAATCACAATTCATCATTACTTACCGTTTAAAGTCAAAAAGAGGTAAAGAAACTCTGCCCAAAGCTTCCGGCCCCTTTCTCTGCTTATTAGAATCAGGTGAACTTCCACTGCTCTGATTTAAAATTCCAAAAAGAGTAAGATGAAGAAGTGATTCTAATGGCAATTGTGATATCTGGATGGGAAAAATGATTCTATGGGGAAAATGTATCAACAGAAAAAACAGATTAGATGTTTGAGTGTGAAATTAATTTTTAATGAGATTGACAGTTTTAAATATTTCATTTGACTTACCAAATAATCTTTAACTCAAGTAATCTATAGTTAATGAGTAAATTTGGTTAACCTGTACTGTTAAAAATCTTAAACAATTTCATTATCAGCATAGAATTTCAAACTGCAACATTTCTTTCTACAAAAATTTACCAATTTAGGGCTGGGAAGTTGGCTCAGTGGTAGAGCGTTTGCCTTGCATGCATGAGGCCCTGGGTTCGATTCCTCAGTACCACATAAACAAAAAGAAAAAAGCCGGAACTGGCCTTGTGGCTCAAGTGGTAGAGTGCTAGCCTTGAGTTAAAAAGCTGAGGGACAGCACCCAGGCCCAGAGTTCAGGCCCCACGACCGGACCCAAAAAAAAAAAAAATTTACCAATTTATTTACTTAAGATTTGCTGTGTCAATATCCAGGCAAAATTAGTCATTTTTATTGTGTTTAAGACAAACTAGATGTTTATGAATGATTCTGTTTTGGTATTGAGAATTTACATACAGACATAAAATAGACACATGTGCTTACTGATGTACTTTTTCCCCTAAGCCTGAAAGCACACAGTGGTCACTCTAGAGATCATGTGTTTAAAATAAAGTGACAGGGGGCTGGGAAGGTGGCTCAGAGGTAGAGCGCTTGCCTTGCATGCATCAGGCCCTGGGTTCGATTCCCCAGCACCACATAAGCAAAAAGAAAAAAAGCCGGAAGTGGCGCTGTGGCTCAAGTGGTAGAGCGCTAGCCTTGAGCTGAAG